CTACAATCTGAAAAAATTCAAATACATGATAGTAATGTCTCACTGTAATATTTGTCGTAAATTAACCTTCAGTCTTTAAGTAGATTGAGCAATGTGAAAATTCGTATTTTGCTAGAAGTTGCAATTCAACAAGCAGCATCCCAGTGTGACAAAGAGAAGCTGCCACTTTTTGTACTTTGTGCAACAGTTGACACATACTTGAAAAGTCGAAACAACAATGTCTAACCAAGATCCTTATGAATAATTGAGTTAGTGATTATGCTCCTTTTCACTGGAAATTCTTTAACCAGAAAGATTTTATGGCAGCCATTTTATCTCAGACACCATGAAAACATCCTTTTCAAAAAAGCATACAAGATCGAGTCAAAGAAAGAAACTTGGAATTAAAAAAACCTGACCCAACCAGTCAAAGCAGTATCCTGAGTCATCGAGTCATCAATAACTGTCAGCAAACAACATTCCAGTAAGATACTGAAAACGGCAAACTTCATGCTACCACAGGCTTCAAATCTTAAAGATAAGCTTGTCATAAATACTCTGCCACATTTTGTAGTGGGATGAGGCTGAGGAGGGTCAGTTTGCTCTCAAGTTCTTCACAATCCACTAAAGAGGTAATGCTGACAAAATTCAGGCCTGCTGAATGACAGATGATGTGAAAAGAGAAGTCAGGAGCAAAAGCAAGTACCGTCAGATACTGCGCAAACGACACTCCATCCAGACTGCTTCTGGGCAAGTATTCCACCAGAGAGGAGAAAGACCTTGCAAGTGATAAGTTTTAAGCTACTGCCGCATACTTCTACCTGTTTCAAAAGCAAAGAGGAACATAGATTCCAATTTTAACAGTAAAGCACCTGAGATGAAGTTTCACACAAAGTAAGTTTTTCCACCCTTTATTTATGTAGCCTGACTTATTTTCGTAAGTAGCATTAATTTGGGTCTTATCTAGTTTCTGAATTGTCCTAATTTATAATTATGATAAAACTGACAGACTGTGGCAAGAACCCTGTGCTATGAAGCTCAAAAAATTATATTTTCATATTATGTGTATTATTTTATTATTTATTATTATTTTTTCAATCTTCACAGAGCAAAATTGTTTGGGGCTCAGAAGATAAACACAGGCTTCTCCTGCAGTAGAATCCTATGTCATCCTACAGCACAGAGGTTCACACAGAGCCAAGCAGGGTGCTGTCAACAGTTGTATTATCCATTTGTACAGGTCAGCTTTTCACCACACCCACTGGTAATCCGCATGGCAGCAATAGAGCTGATGACATATATGAAAGTTTAAACAGGTTGGAAGGGAAGTGAAAGCTTAACTGGCTCAACAACATACTGCCATACCTTTACTCAGAAGGGCGAGAGCATTGTCTAACCACCATGCTATGGATCACTCCTCACCTCTGCTGCAGATAAACTCCTGGGGAACTGCCCTTTTCCAACACGCACGAGCAGATAAGGGCAGAAGCAAATGAATCTCAGTAGCCGCTCGGCCAAAGTAAGCAGTTCTCAAAGCTCCTACAGCTGTTCATTGCCTGCTTGCAGATAACCACCCCCACAATTCTGTGCTCCATTTTATGCCAGGCTTCCAGTTGGAGCCAGGATCAACTTCTGTAAATCCAGGTTAGGGAGTGATTAGATGAAATCAGAAAAAAATGCAGGAAAAGGAATGATTGTTTATGTTAGCATCAGCAATGGTATCTCACCCAACAGTCCTGAAATCTGGTCAATGGAAAAAAAGAGTATGTAGCTAACTAACTTTTAAGATCATCCTACATGATTATGATCATGTAGCAACAGGAACTCATAGCTGGAGTTGTAAAACTATTGAATGTCTTGAGTCACTGGCTTCTACCTGTATCAATACTAACTTCTCCAGAGTGTCACACCTTATATAGCAGGTCTTCACAAGAAATACAGTGTTATCTCTAGTCCCCAATGGATTCAAACACAACATTCAGCTTCACCCAGCAGACGAGCGAGGAAGGGAGTGTTCCTCTAACAGGACTTGGACAAGGTAATCATCACAACAACTTCTGCATCAAGTTTTGGAGCACAGAGTGGTTATCCACATTCACAAAAGTAGGTAAGACGATCAGGTGCCAGCAAAAAAAAGTTTTCATGTCCAGAGACAGCGTTTTCAGGGAAGATACCTTTGCAAATGCACAGTAGGTAGGAAGAAAAATAAACAAATAATAACCCCACCCAAATACATATCATTGGTCTCCCTACTACACTAGTCTTCATTTTGTCCTCCCATCTGCTTCTTCAGCCCAATAAACTGAGACCTAAAAACATGTTTTTGGATGAAAAAACTTTGTATCTTTTTTA